CAGGGTCTGAGCAAAACCTCCAACAAGCCGTCTAGTCAAGATGAGATCGTGCCGCCGTCTTATCGACATGCGCCGGCAGTGTTTTACCAACTGCTTGTCTTTCTAACCAGCTCTCTATATAAATGCGGGCATTCTTACAAACAATCGGAGATGGCATGGAACATAATATTGCTTGGGCACCCAGCTCAGCCAATACAACCGGGCTTGGCATCAAAATTTGCAGTCTTAAGTAAATTCACAATGCTTGGGCACATGTTATCTGTAATCCTTCCAAGTTGGTCAGGCGGATGAGATGGTGGGGCACACATGGTACGAGATGTCGAGATTCATTCGCAAACGACCCCATTTTACACCGGCAGAGTGGCTCAGAAGGTGCCAACCAGTCCGCAGAGCAGACATTCGACGTGCTCCGGATAGCCAAAGATCCACTCGACTCGCCCAAGGTATTACAGCATGGGGTTGGTTGAAATGCAGGGAAATAAGTGAACGACCGTGACTAGAAAGGAGGGTAGATGACGATGGTTATGACGCCGTGTTTGGGGAGGCGGAGAGAGAGACGCTGCCATGTTTCTTCCTACTCACTGCCTGCAGGATGCCCATGCGGATGCGTGCCTTGGTTGTTTGGCAGTGCTGAAAAACGTCACGGTGTGATGACAACCGGTTCTTCGCCCCACTGGCAACATGCTAGGCAGCTGGCTGGGGACATTGAAGAAGGAGCAGCCATACACTTTTCCACCACAATACTGATCCGGAGACGTCGGGTCAAATGGCGTACTTCTACCCAGTAGGAAACACACCTGCCGTGTCACTGACCCAGGGACTTCCCCACGAGAAGCGAGCAGATTTGCTCCTTCTAGGCTGCGGAGACATCCGCCACATTTTGTTCACGGCTCACTGCGACCGTAAGTGGCTCCCGAGTCAACTTCCATCCACAGCTGAGGTGGCTGTCCAACACCTCGCACTTGCCGCCCCCTTCCATCTCTTCGTAGACTAGCTGACATATTACCATAGCCGCGCGCCAACTAGATACTACCTGCCGCGACTCCACCAAGGCTGTTATCGGTAGGTTTTTCTCTTACAATCCAGCCCTTGTTTCTTTTGTCGACGCGCGACTTTGAACCTCGTTGTGGACGTCAGGGACGGCATTTCTATCGTCTCAAAAAGCATGTTTGACACTCCATAAGGCCTCCCCAGCATGGGAAAGGCCTTTTGAAGCACCGCTTATACCTTTTGGGATGGCAAAAAGGCCCCGGGCCTGTTAGGGCTATAATGTCCTTGGCTAGAGTGCGTCAGAGTGTAGTTACTCGCGTTTGCTAACATCCAGAACAGCTCGTAACATCCTACTGTTGTCATTGATTCTCGATGACACCAAGAGCGCCAACCCCTTGCTCTGGGACTTGTATTACCACTTCCGTGTCGATAAAGCATCTCTCAACTTGCTCGAGGCTCAGGCGCGGAAGCTATGCACACTCTCTACCTCACTCCAGGCCTGGCACCAAAGCGAGTATGGCCAGCGCATCCGGCTTTGCGGCCAGGGCTCTCTTGCAGCAGTAAGAGAGATGTGGAGCTTCTATGCCAAGTCAGCAGCCCATCCCGACTTGTTCGATGCAGAAAGCAACATGCGCATCCAGGCGGCGCGTGAGGACCGCTCAAACCCCTTCCGCGGCACAACCCCCCCGTCAAATCTCACTGTGCTTCGGTCCACAGCGCCTACAACTTTAATGACCGGGGAGGACCTCAGTCTGGAGTACACGCGTTATTGGCAACGCGGCACGACGTACCGGGGCAAAGATGCTGCCCTACATGGAAACCCAATGTTCCATCCTCTTGACAGCAATGTGCACTTGCACTACGCTACCGACCCACTGCTAGGTTTCCATCTCGCGACCACCTATGCACCGCTGGACGCAACCCAGACAACCTCGGCTGTTTCACCCTCGCAACCATCCACTCCTGCCGAGGGAGCACGGGCTGAGTTCCAGTCTTGGATATTGTCCCTCAGAAAGGCGGCAAAGCCCGCGGTGCTACGATTCTTTATCGGTGATGCTCTGGCATTTTCACATTTCCTGCAGCACAAGAACAGGCTCGGAAACACTAGGCCTGCACACTGGCACCGCGCTTGGTTTGACTTTGAGCCACTGGTCCTTGATACAAATGACTACGCCGAGAATGGGCCCGCGCCTCGTGTCTTCGATGTCATTGACACCTCGAATCTCATTGATTATGTCGGGGCCATCGGTGTCCTGGCTGCAACGTCACCGCTTTTGAAGAATGATGCTCCAGCCACAATATTCACCGAAAATCTTATACGCGAATCCAAGACACACAAGGAGCTGATGGACAATCTTTTGTTTGGTGACTTGCAAACCGTGTCAACGCTTCTTGGTTTGGTACCGGTAGAGGTGGTAACGAACACATCACCTTCCTGTACCAGAGATGAAACCATCATCTTAGCAATCATCTCTGCCGGAAAAGATCAGCGAGAGGCCGCCCCAACCTCTAGACAGTTGTTTTCTAGAATTCCATGGAAGCGTCCAATTATGTTGAACAAAGGCTCGGGAAGACTCCAGCTCGGCGTGATACTACGCTTTAGCTCGACCGATCTGGCAAATGTCTTGCATAGCGTCTATACAAAGATGTTTGAGAACCAGAAACCCACGACAGCCTCGAAGCTCAATGCCGGTACTCGTGATAATCGGTCGAATTTTGCCGCATTTTTGCGGCTCGTAAAGACCCAAGTCAAAGGTGATTGGAGAGAAACGATGGAAACTCTCATTGGATTTATACAAGCGAGAGCGACTCAGGGCAGTCAAATGGCTGAGAATGACTACACGGAAGAAGTCTGCACGTGACTTCGTCATTTGTACCCTAAACCCACACTTGAACATCCATCTGGCCACCCGGAAACAGGTATCGGTCACCTGGAGACAGGCACCGACGACTCTGAAAATGGCATCGGTGTCTTGGAAACAGACATCGGCGATCTGACACTAACCGGTCTGCGTGGCCGGAAAGCACCTCCACCTATACTTGAACATCCATCCGGGGACTTGGAAAGAGGCACCGGCCACTCGGAAAAAGACATCGACACTGGCAGGCTGACTACAGTCCGAGTCACGGCCGGCGTAGATCCGAGCACTGGCAAAATTACTTCCTTTGCAAGTCGAGTCAATCTTGAATCAGAGGCCGACAAAGACGCGCTTCGCGCAGGCCATTCCGTCCAATTTCCCCCCACAACTCCGTTCAGCTTCGCTATCAGCATCGGCAAAAGACAGGGTCTGGCAATCGACTTCCCGGCTCCAGTAATGGAAGAGGGCATCGTCGCCAGAGTTGCTCGCAAGTCTTCCTATTCGCTCGCGTCGCAACCGCTGGTGACTGGCCATCTCTTTTCTCTCCGATGTGTCCCACGGTTTTATCTCAAGATATTCTAGTAGCTTGGAACATACCGTACCTCAATCTCTCGGTACTCCCCATCCTCAACAACTTCTCGAGCAAGTCACGCATGGAATGGCTGAACATTCAGGTCAACAAGATGGTTCCAGCGGGAGAGAGTCATGGGGGACGCAAAGACCGAATTCAAAGAGTCTATCTTTGCTCTCTTCATGCACTACACCGACCTCCTGCCTGAGGACAAAAATCGCGCACACATGTTTAGAATTGTCTGCCCAGAAGCTGGCCACTTTCAAGTCCACATAGTCCTGCTAGTGTCCAGCTTCCGGTTGGACCTCTCGAACCGAACTGTCGTGCTCGACGCGGCGGTGCTGCCGCTGTACAAGTCGCCCATGTCCGTCCTCGATCCGTTCCTGGAGGCATTCCTCAGGACCGGCGGACTGTGCAATGTGAGCGCAACCAAGGCTGAGCTGAAGCTGTGGAAGGAGATGCTACCCGCGCTCACGGAGCGGTGCCGCGAGTGGTCGCACCGCGATGGCTGCGAATACCGGGCCAAGGAACGGGTGCCCATCTCGGTTGAGGAGGGCGAGAGGGTGTTGTGCTCGTGCGGGGAGGGCGTGTTCCTGCCGGGATATCTTACGATTGTCCCAAAGTGGAACCTGGCCGCCAAGTATGCGACGAGGTTGGCGATATCGCCCATGTTTCCAGCGGCGTACTTTGAGCAGACGGTTGACAACTTGGTGGATGTGATTGATTCTACCCTGAAGGGTGGTGGCGTGTGCCGGCACTGCGGCTTGGACAGGGCCAAGGATGGTATCGACTTGAAGTTGTTGCTCTGTGGTGGCTGCCGTAAGGTGAAGTATTGCTCTAAGGATTGCCAGCGGGCGGGTTGGCGGGCCCATAAGAGCGAGTGTAAGAAGAACCGAGGTCCTAAGAAGGAGTAGGTCAGGAGCTTTTTAACGCGCGGATAGGCCTCAGCGCAGGAGGAGAAGGCCTTGTAAGATATTGTAGAATACCAGCCATATTGCCACAGGACCCCGATGAGGGGTCGTTTAAGTGTGTAGCGTGTTTTTAATTACGTAGGTAGTTACAGTACCAGTACAACCCGGCCCTAGTTTGTAAGTTGTTGGCGCGTGAGCTTCCCCCCAAGACCCAAAAAGAGATATTGCAGTCCTGGAAAAGCGTTTCAGCATAAAAGAAGGCATTTCTGGTATACTTGGTATCTTATAAGGCCTCCATGTAGTCCTGTAATCGACGGATGAATTGGTCCCAGATCGGCAGAACTCGGGTTGAACTCGATGAGCCTTATCATCAACCACGAGTATCTACAGGCTTGCGCAACACACATTGTCTGAGTCATCGCCGGCCAGGGACCTTATTGAACAAGCGGTCATCAAACGCGACTTTCAACGGCAAGCAAAGAGGAGCAGGGAACATTGCAGGTTGAGGAGGAAAAAGGGAGGCTTGTGTTTTAACTGAGAATTATTCAGAGCATTCTGTGGCTGCATGTTGGGATAACATGTCATAGTCGTTGGTTGGGTCCCTAGTAGTCCTGAGATTTTGGGCTTTGAGAGTTTAGGCAAAAAAAAATCAAAAAATCAAAAAAAAATCGTCACCTACAGGATTCGAACCTGTGCTCCCGAAGGAACTGCCTAAACTACTGAATCAGCTAGCAGGGCAGCGCGTTAACCACTCCGCCAAAGTGACTATCGCAAACGATTTAATGATTGGCCCATAATTACTTTCTGATATGGCGCAACGTAGTCTGGAATGATATGATTGGACAAGTCAATGTCTCGAAAAGCAAATTGGGAGGGGGGGGGAGGGGGGGGAGGGGCTAGCGACGCCCCATCCCCTTTTGGTATCTATGTATGCACAACTCGCTGTCCTTGAATGGAATCTAGTCCCGAAATTGGTCAAGCGCCAAGGAACGGGAGCTTTCACGGGTTCACGCGCTCACGGCAATGAACTGCGCGGTTGCAGTGAACTAGAAGTCAGATGCGGTGCATTGGCCATTGAACCCCCTGAGGTTCGTTGTTTATTTAAATCGAAGCGAGTCCGGGCATCCTCACATCCCTCTTTACATCGCCCCCCAAACTTTCTTCCACTGCTCCCCCATCTGCATTCCAGATTTTTTTTACAAGACAACACACCACCATGGCCGACACCGAGCAGCTCAAGACATATCGCGGTAATTGCCACTGCGGCAACTTCGTCTACGAGATCGATGTGCCTGAGATCAAGTCGGCTGCCGAATGCAATTGCAGCATTTGCTCCAAGAAGGCCTACCTCTGGGTCTATCCTCCCCCCAGCTCCGACTTGAGGATTGTGAAGGGTGACGACAACACCCTGACGTCGTACAGCTTTGGCACCGGGTTCGCATCTCACAAGGTACTCCATCTGAAGCCCGGTGTTATCGTGGCAATTCTCGTGGCAATGTTGACATAAACCCAAAGTTCTGTCCCAAATGTGCCACTCCTGTCTTGTGCTCGGCACCAAGTGCTCCACCTGGAAGGCAGCTGTCTCTCAATGTGAGCTTTCCCCTCTGCTAGACTCTGTTTGCGGCGTTGACTGATCACCTACTACCTTTAGGCCCGCGCGATGCAAGGAGTAAACCCTTGGGACCTGGAGCTCACCCCGTACGAGCCGCCACGATCTTCCCCATGAAGCTGTACCGGGCCGCGCTAACAGATCTCCATGCAGTGTGGATGGCGCTGGTTGGGGAGGTACCTATCAGCCCCCAAAGTACACCGGCCCAGAGCCGTCCGCCGACATCGAAAAAGCCGAGATATACAACGGGAGCTGCCACTGTGGCGCCGTAACTCTCGCCCTGAAGAGCGCGCCCCTTGACAAGGAATGCCCCGGCAGCGTGTCTGAATGCTCTTGCAGCATCTGCTCGCGCGTGAGTCGATGTTTTCCAGGATCAAACCCTACAGTGCAAGCTGACTTTACCTAGAACGGATACATCTGGGTGTTCCCCAAGAGGGAGCAGATCGTCGTCCAGGGAAGGGAGAATCTGGGAACCTATCAGTTCGCCGCCGGCGTTGTGGTCAAGACTTTCTGCAAGACTTGCGGAGTCAACGTAACCAACGAGGCCGCGGAGCTGAACGAGAAGCAACTTGCGGCCCTGCAGGATTTCATGAGGGAGTTCCATGCGGGCCAGAAGCTTCAGTGTGGGCTGAACCTGAGGGTGTTGAACGACTACAACGTCAAGGATATCAAGGAGCCGAGCAGATCGACCTTCACTGCCAACATTGAGCCCTTGTATGTCAACCCCTGAGGTGTTGGGAGCTTGTCGGTGGATCTAGGGCAGGTTTCGATAGACTGGACAGCGCCAAAATGTTGGCCGAAGTGGCAATTTGAAGTACTTACAATCCAGCCCTGGTTTGTTTGTTTTGCGTGTGACCTTCCCCCAAAGGTCCCAAGAGAGATATTACAGCCCTAGAAGGCTTTCTTTCGAGGAGCGAAAATTGCATCTTTCGTATTTATAAAGGTATAACGTTACCCGGTGTTTCAGAAGCCCTTACGAAATACCAAAGATGCCTTTTCTTTTGCTGTAAAGGCTTCATCGGGGCTTCGGTACCTCTCTTTGGTTTGGTGGGGGTGTTCCGCATCAATAAACAAACCAGGGGTAAAGTGTGTAGTCGATCGCCTGGTTCAGTGTGACTCGCGACCTTTCAGGGTCCCTCTCCCATCGCTCAAACAACCACTATAACATAATATTTCCCTTCATCCTAGGCCTAGCTGGTCCAGTATCTCCAGACGCCTCGCACCCTTGGTCTCGGCCCGCTAGACGCGGAGGAAGGTGGCGTATAGCGCGTCCGGACCATCGGGCGCATTTCCCGCGCAGAGGGTGGTGCAAAAGAACGCCTTCTCTTGTCATTGGTTACAAAAAGCTACAATAAAAGGGAAAGAAAAACTGAGGAGCTTCCAGAGAAAGCACCACGAAATAACCTGTTTGCCCTTCATTTCCGACAAAGTGAATCAAGAAGAGTCGGGCAGCCGACGTGGAGCAGAATAGAGTCTTCTGGCATACTTAGCGGGCCGGAACTCGAGTAGATTAATTGCTATATAGGTCTCAAGGACCTCACACACTCTATTGAAGACTGAACACAATAGGAACACAATAGGGCACCTGACAATAGGAACAATAGCACACGAAACACAACAGGCAGCCACGCCCGAGACGAAAACAACCACTCCAAATGCAATGACCTTAAAGGGGGCCCTGGGCCCCCCCCGGGAGGGTCCCGCGATCGGCGCGCGGTCGGCGCGCGTCTCCCCGATTGTCCGTATCCCCGTAGTCAATTGGATGACTACTCCCTTCTCGACCGCTTGCGCGGCGACTCCCCGCGCTCGCCCAGCTGGTCCGGTACAGTTACGTTGGCCGTTGGCGCGGTGCCGGGAAGGGGGACGACTGTCCAGCCTCTTTGTATGAGGGGCGTGAACGAATCCGCGTATATCAGGTATTGGCTCACATAGGCACGTCTGGAGGTGATGTCGGCGAGGTGCATCATGCCAAACACCTCGTCGCGAGACAGGGTTGCTCTCAGACCCTCCACGCGGTTTCTACCTGGTCGGGGAAGGATCTTGAACGTGGCGATGGCTTCTGATCAGAACCGCACCGCAAGCGCTATCCCGTATGTGTTGCTTGGTCTCCATCTCCGCGTCTTGGGTGGAGTGGGTGCCCTGGGAAACGAGGATATATTCCACACCTGGGGCTGGCAAAAGATCGTCGCTGTTTGCTGGGGCGACAATTTCCGGATGTTCGGCGCCGGGCGTACGCGGGAGCTCAACCTTGACCCCCACAACCGCGAGGTTTTGCTTAGTTCTACTGGTCGTGAACGAGTCGATGCCATCGTATAGTCTGGCAAGCGCCATGTCGGTTTGGCCGACACGTTCAACGACGGTACCGACTGGGCTGAGGGTGTCTCCTTGGTACACTATGAAGACCTCGTTCGACAGGGGGTCGTCGCTCCCTAACGTCGCCCCGTGTTTGGCGGCGAGCTTCTCCTAGAGATGCTATGAGCATGTCATACGCTGCTGGCCGTTCCTTTCGAGCAGGATGCCGGCGGTGGCGGAATACTGAGTCTCACCCTTCCACGCCGAGGAGATCATCGAACCGGGGTAAAACACCCGGTCCCGGGCGACGTAATCCGTATCGTCATTGATACGGATTTCTGGTGCCCTATGTGGCGTGGGGTTCTTCGCCCGTTTGGCAAGTTGGTTGTACACAAGGGGACCGTTGGAGTAAGAGACATAAAATTGCGCGTCTGAAACCCGGCCGGGGAGTTTTTCCAGGCGCGCGTGCCATTGCTCCATGTCATCACATTGTACGAACTCAAAGACAACGAAGTTGTTGACCCATGCGACTCCGACACAGTCCGGGACTATAAATGCTGCCAGTTTCATCAGTGCTCTAGGGTCGGGCATAACATTAAGTACGAAACTGTGAAGGAGCGACTCCTCTACCTCCGGTTCGGTATCAATGTCCCTGCCGTCCTCGCCAGGGAACGGACAGGAGGCCATGTCGTCGAGGGCTCTCCATATGGCTATGAAGCCGCCGACGGCGAAGGGCCTAGTGTCGGCCGAGGGGACGTCCGAGCATCCAAGAACAAGAAAGGGTGGGTAAGGAAATACATCATCGACACTGTATTGTCGCCGGAGGTACTCCATAGCAACTTGGCGGTCGGTTGCCGATGCGTTGTCAAATGACGGCGCGCCGTCTGCATCCCGCCATGAGAACCCCCTGAATTACAGGTTCCCATCGACTAGATACCCAATGTCATCGTCGCTGGGCTTCTCGATTTCATTCTGAGAAGTAATGGGTGGGAAATCGTAACTCCTGACACGGCGATGGTCGGTGCTAGGATGGTGCAAGGCAAAGTGCGGGGCCGGAGCGTCGGGAAAGCTGGTGCTGCGTATATGGCCGCGAGGCCCGGGTGAGGTGATGACGGTGGTGGGGCTTGAGTGTGTGTTCATTGTTTCGGTGTCATTGGTGTGTGGTGTTGGTGAATGGGGCGGCGCGATAGACACTGGCGAGACAGATGTCTGCGGGATGGACGTGGCCGTGGGATTGGGAGAATCGGCCTGGGGTGACATCTTTGCGGCTAGGTGAGTGGACTGAGAAGCTCCGTCTTTTGCTTATGTTGCTGTCCTAGTGTTGGGGGAAAGCGTAGTATGAAGGGTAGCTGGGAGCTCTTCCCCCTTGTATTATATGCGAAGCCCAAACTTTAACTTGGCAACCCTCATGCAAACTTTTTAGTGGCGCATATAGCCGTGCGTATCGTTGAGACACGGAACTTAACTGCTGCACCGGCCGTCGATTGTGCTGCGCTTAGTTGCGTCTTGCATTCATTTAGGAGCTGTCAGGCCTATAATGTTAGGAAGTAACTAGTAACGATGGATATATATATGCTTAGTATGGAATTGATTAAGTGTCTGTTGTTCAGCCGCTAGCGGGTAGTCGGTATATTTGGTTCTGAAGCTGCAAGGGACTTCGTTGAAAGGGACCGGCGGGGTGAGACTATGAGGGCTAGTCCGTTAAGTGATGTCAATGGCTTGGAATATGTACTTGGTTCGAGAGTCTTTTCTTCTATGTTGTAACTTGAATCTTAGCATCCCCGTTGAGCCCCTTGAGATGGGTGGAATCCGTTGGAGACAAATTGAGTTCATGTAAGTTTTTGGTGCTACTAGGGTTGTCGCAT